GGGGAGGTCTGTGTCCGGAGGGCGGCCCGGGGGGGGGGGGGCTCTGCAACTTACCTGGCTGCTTCTTGCTCCTCGTGGCCCAACTGAGGGCTGCTGGGAGCAGGGGGCGGGGCTTGTTGCATGTGCCCACCCCCTGGGCTCCTTACTGCCGGAGCTCCACTCCTGTGCGCTCCCGCAGGAAATGACCCCTGCCTTTACTGGCTCCTGCCGCAATAAATTAGATTGATTGCTTGATTGAAGACCAACAAAGTTTAATTCTGGGTGTAAGCTTTTGTGTGTATGCCCACTTCTTCAGCTATCTGAAGAAGTGTGCATGCACCCAAACGCTTATAGTCAGAATTAAACCTTTGTTGGTCTTAAAGGTGCTACTTGACTCAGACTTGGTTCTTTTTGACATTGTCCCCTTAGACTCTGGGTGCTGAAATATCATAACAGCTTTGAGCTGTGACCTCTCTTAGGGAAGCATTAAGAAATGTACCCACCCCATTTTTCCAAAATAAACTCAAAGCAATGCACGAAACCCAGAAAATCTGTACTTCCAATAGTTCTAAAATAGAGACACCCAGAAAAAAACAGCAGAACTCCTAAATCAGAAATATGAGCAACTGCGAGGGGATCTCTCCCCACCTCCACAAAACAAAACCTAACCTTTAAAACAGGAAGGTCTCCCCCTTTCTTCAGTATGCCTACACAGAGGGTGCCAGACAAAACGCCCACAATAGGGAATTCCAGAGCTCTGAGGCAGCCGCTGAGAAGATCCAGCTTCTTTTAGAAACCAGTGTGGCCACTAAATACATTGGTACTTGAAGCTTTATGGGCAGGTAATATAGGGCTTTCTGGGTCACCTTGAACTGGATCTAAACACATTCTGGTAACCCCTGCAACTCTTTCAATACGGCTTTGATGCTAATTTGTTGATTCACGCCAGCCTAGCAACAGCATTCTGCAGTTTGTTGCTGTTTCCAGAACATCGTCACATCCAGTCCAACTTAAAGTGCACCGCAGTGCTTGCACCCAAGAGGGCACTGGGCATGAAGGACAGTGGAGAGCCCTGTAGCTGTGACATACCTTCGTTTTTGCCAGACATGCAAAGTGAACTAGCCACGGCCTGACAGTGCTGCAGTGCAGGATGTTTCCAGGTGGATGCTTTTGTTTCACCTGTACTTCCGGACTGCAGTGCTCTTTTCACGAGCACCCAGACGACCGGTTTCATCTTCAATTGGCCTCTCCCCTCGCCCATTTTTCTCCCTCCCCTTTTAGACCAGACAGATTATACACCACTCCCTCCTGAGTTTTATGCCCTCTTCTATTACATTGTTAGTTACAATATACTGTATTTTATCATTATATTATTAGGTTATTTTATTATATTTATGTTTTAGAATGTTTTATGATGATGGACATGGGGAGAGCAGGATACAAATCCAATAAAATAAAAAATATTAAAATTACCATATTTTCTCTTGCTTTGCTCCAATCTTTCCCAAACCTTATTCGGCACAAACTTTTTTGAAAGATCACACTTTGGAACTTGTGAGAGCCAGTTTGGTATAGTGATAAAGGGAGCAGACTGTAATCTGGGAGAACCGGGTTTGATTCCCCACTCCTCCACATACAGCTGCTAGTGTGACCTTGGGTCAGTCATAAGTTCTCTGAGAGCTGTTCTCTCAAGGGCAGTTCTCCAGAGAGCTCTCTCAGCCTCATCTACCTCACAGGATGTCTGTTATGGGCAGGGGAAGGGATTGTAAACTGCCCTGAGACTCCTTTGTGTAATGAAGGGTGGGGTATAAATCCAATCTCCTCCTCCACCATGGGAAGGTATGTGTTTTTTGCAGATCTTGTCCACATGAGCACCACTTTCCTTACCTCAGTCCCCACTACTGCTAATCCCCCATGCACACCAAAGAGCTTTAAAAACTAGTAACTGACAGATCACTACAGTGCAATGCATTGCACTGATGTACTAGTTCCCAGTTTTATTTTTTTACAATGCCTCTACCCTTTTCTCTGTGGAGTTATAAGGAGAAAGGTTCAGACGGCACATTTTCCCTTAGAACTACCCAGCAAAAGGAGACAGAGACTGTCTTGTTTAAAAAGCTGGGAAATAATACATAGTTAAAATATACTGTTATAACATTATTGTGTTATAGCAAACTGTCAATTACCTTTTTTAAAAAATTAAGCCCCAAAAAGCCACCTGGCAGGAGAATGGCACCGTGGGATGAGGCAAGGGAAGTACAGGGAAATCTTCTAGGAGAATGCTTCATTGCCACTGCAAATGCAGCTGCATTCACAGCAGCAACAAGATCTACAGGGGGAATCACCTGTGTGGAAGCTGGCCGCTGCTTTTAACTGTTTAGACATTCAACACTGTTACTGCTGGGAACAACTGAATTATAAGATTTACCACCAAGTACCCCAACTAGATTGCAGAATTTATGCCAGTTACAAGCCTTCAAAGGGGCATCCAATGGACTAAAAGAAGAACATAAATGCAGCGACATTCACTCATACTTTTGTTGTTAAAAGGAGGTTTGGGACACAATCTGCATGTGCACAATTTTAATCACCTGGAGTTTTTAAACTAAATAACATGTAGACATTCTTACACAATTCAATGTAGCAGCACAGCCAGGGGCAGTGTTTGCAGGCTGAAGAAGATGCTGACAAAAGGACAATTCTTTTCAGCAAGAGGGAACGTTCACTGGCTACATGCACGACTTACAGCTCTTTCCAACAGACCACTTTTGGTGGCCTGCATCAAAGGGACTCCAAAAACACTGTGGTTAAAAGTTGCCTCTCCAACTGACATCATGTTTCCTAGAAATGGCCTCTATTCAAGAAAGGGGCAGAAATACATATGCTGTGCAGGAATACCTTTGTTGGTATGCCGCAGCAAAAGCAGTCGCACTTTGAAGACTGACAAGTGATCCTACTTTGGTTTGCGTCTGGAAAAGTGAGCGCCGACTGACAAAAGATCAGGGTTGAATCAGCTTGGCTGGTCTTTAAAGTGGTATCAGATCCCCAGTTCTGTTTCCCTGCTGCAGAGCCAAGTGGGATTATCCGCTGCAGGAAAATGGTTTGTGCAAGCTTCTGCTGGGATAAAATGTGCCTAGTCTTTAATGCAGCACCAATGGAATCCCATGTATGAAAGCCAAGTGAAAAACAGAAACGCTATATTTTAGGGTGGGATCTGATTCAGCGGCGTAGCCATTTCGGTGTGAAGCCACTGATCGACGTTTGAGTCCAGCGGCACTTTGAATACCAACAAAGTTTAATTCTGGACAGTGTTCCCTCTAAGCTGAGTTAGTGTGAGCTAGCTCACAGTTTTTTTAGCCTCTGGCTCACACATTTTTGTCTTAGCTCAGGAAGGAGGGCTCCAGAGCAAACTAATTCATACAGCAGCCAAATCGCTCACTCACAGCTTTAATGCCTGTAGCTCACAGAGTAGAATTTTTGCTCACAAGACTCCAAAGCTTAGAGGGAACATTGATTCTGGATATAAACTTCCGTGCGCATGTGAAGAAGCGTGCATGCACAGGAAAGCTTTGACCCAGAATTAAACTTCTGCTGGTCTTCAAGGTGCAGATGGACTCAAAACTTTTGCTCAAAACGTGTTCTGATCATCCTAAACGGGGAAGCAGAGTTTCCTACCTGGGCTTCACCCCGGGGAATGCATAGTGGCGATTAAGGGGCTGCCAACCTCCAGGTGGGGCCTGGAGAGGAGGAGGGCTCTCCTTTCTGCAAAACTCCGCACTCCCTTGGAAAGTGGGCCTACGGTCCAGCTACGAAGCTCCGGAGTAGTGGAGGGTCAGCAGCTTGCAAGGAAAGGGAAAGTGGAAGGGCACCCCCACCACCATGGGCTCTGCCACTCTTACCACACTTCTCCACATGCAGCCAGCTGGGTGACCTTGGGTCAGTCACAAGTTCTCACAAGCGACGCATTTTGCAGACGATCCCACCCCCCCCATGAGCAAGGGGAGGGGAGGCCGAGAGAGGCCCCGCCCCCTCCACGCGCTCCAGAGACGAGGCGCCTCTCCTTCTTACCTGAGGGGAGCCCCAGGGCCAGCATCAGCGCCAGGCCGAGGAGGCGGCCCTGGGAGCCTGCGAGGGCGGAGGAGGGCCCGGGTCTCCTCCGCCGTCCCCGGCGCCGCATCCCCGCCCGCTCTCCGGTGCTCTGAGGGCCTCGCGCCTGCCTGCCTTCCCCCGCTCCGCCGCCGCGCGCCGCGCCTCCGGGAACGCGACGGCGGCGAAAAAGGCGACCCACGTGCGCCGCCGCGCCTGCCCCCTCCTCTCCCGCGAATGCGGCTCTCTCCCCGCCTACCCCGCGTTGCCCCGGCAACAAAACAGCGTGGCCTCGTGCGGCTCTGAGGCCGAGTCGAACGCCGGCGGGGCTGTTTCCCCGGCGAGGATCTGCGCGCGCCGCCGCCGCCCTTCCCGGGACGTAGAAGACAGGCGTGTTGGAGGCCCCACGCGCGCAAGGATTCCCCCGCGAAAGCAGACCTCTTGGAAACTGGCGCAGTGGGGGACGGGGTGCGGCGACGGTGGCGCGCGCTCTCTCTGGAGGAGAGCGAGAGAGCCCCCCCCCAACCAGTGTTCCCTCTAAGCTGAGCTAGTGTGAGTCAGCTCACAGTTTTTTAGCCTCCGCCTCACACACTTTTGTCTTAGCTCGGGAAGGACGGCTCCAGAGCAAATTAATTTATGCAGCAGCCAAATCGCTCGCTCACAACTTTAATGCCAGAAGCTCACCAAGTAGATGTTTTGCTCACAAGACTCCACAGCTTAGAGGGAACATTGCCCCCAACCCCTTCCTGCAGTGCACTCTTCCTTTTAATTCTTGTTCCACCGCCGTGTCCTCCAAGCAATTCTGCGCTACAATCCAGTCCAGCCTTCTTTTTTATTCTGCATTACAGTTTGGTGTAGTGGCTAAGTGCGCAGACTCTAATCTGGGAGAACCGGGTTAGATTCCCCACTCCTCCACTTGCACCTGGCTGGATGACCTTGGGCAAGCCATAGTTCTGTCACAGCTGTTCTTGAAAAAGAGCAGTTTCCGTCAGAGCTCTCTCAGCCCCACCTACCTCACAGGGTGTCTGTTGTGGGGAGGGGAAGGGAAAGGAGTTTGTAAACTGCTCGGAGACTCCTTCGGGTAAATCCCATCTCCTCCTCCTTCTTCATGGCCTCCCTTCAGTGTTCAGCTTAGACAGCGGGGAAGCCTAAAAATGACAACCAAAGCCACCAGCAAAACAAGTACCAGCAAGTGGAGGCTGAAGTCTGGAGTTTCCAAATCTGAAACCGAAGGAGAACGCAGCCCTGGGGGGGAAATCTCTGGAAGAAATAATGTTTTAAATTAAATTCTTTATTTAATGTCATTTTTATGTTGTATTAACATTCAGAAAACTGATGAGAGCTTCTCAAGCTTAACAGTTAGCTATACAGTCAAAGCAAGCCGCTACATTCAAGAATCATTAACTGAGCTCCACCCGTCAGTTCTAATAATTAGACAAGCTTAAAAGAGTAGCAGGTCACGACAATACAAATTCTTTGGTACTACCTTTTTCCCCCTCCTAAGGAGCTGCGGTAGCTCAAGTGGTTAAGACGCTGAACTGCAGGCAGTGGAAGGTCAGTAGTGCAGCGGTTCGAGACCCAAGTTGCCACATGACGGAGTGAGCTGGTTCCAGCTCCTGCCAACCTAGCAGTTGGAAAGCAAGAAATTGCAAGTAGATAAATAGGTACTGCTTTGGTGGGAAGGTAACAGCATTCTTTGCGCCTTGGTGTTTAGTCATGCCGGCCACATGACCACGGAAACGTCTTCGGACAGCACTGGCTCTTCGGCTTTGAAATGGAGATGAGCACCGCAACCCTAGAGTCGGACTCGACTGGCTTTCAAGCAAAGTCCCCCCCCCCCCCAGCCAAGTATTCTACTAGGAACCAGATGGCTTGAAATGGTTCAGGGGTAGCTTTCCAAGTTGGGTGTTCCAAGTGGGGTTGCCAGCCTCCAGGTGGCATCTGGAGATCACCCAGAGGACCAAGGACAGCTCTTATGAGAACTACGGCTTGCCCAAGGTCATCCATCCAGGTGCAAGTGGAGGAGTGGGGAATCAAACCCGGTTCTCCCAGATTAGAGTCCACACACTTAACCACGACACCAAACTGGCACACATGAACATATGAAACTGCCTTATACTGAACCAGACCCTTTGTCAACCTCCCTGACTCGTTTGCCATGTATTTGGGGAAATTCCAGGGAAGAGGGGAAGGTGAATGTGTGAGAGTGAGAACGGCTTTATTGTAGGGCAAGACATCTCATGTAGCTTCCTGAGGATACCTTCCTTTCACAGGGATGCCGTCCAGATGGCCTTGGTCTGTCTCTGTCTCCCTGCTTGCCACCTTAACTGAGATAACAAATGGATTATTTACAGGGGAGGTTAGAGGCATGCTAGGTCAGCGGGAATGAATGATTGGAGGGGACCACATTTGAACCAGGTATAAATGAGGGTCTTCATGCCAGAATATCAGTTCTGACTCAACAACGTTCTTACCTGGGAACATCTTTATTCTTCAATAAACAAATCACTTTCAGTGAGTGTTGTTGAGAGTAACTTTACGAACATAAGAGACACCAATCGCTTTCACACACTCCCAAACACAGTCCTCCCACACAATATCCTCAGCTGAATCCCCTCAGCTGAAAGCAAGTAAAACAACACTCACCCCTCTAGCAGCTCTGTCTCCTGCTCCGAGCTCAGCTTTGTCCAAGAGGCTGACACCCTTGCTCCATCAAAGTCAGTATTGTCTACTCAGACTGGGAGCTGCTCTCCAAGGTCTCAGGCCAGAGGTCTGTTTTAAGATTTGCGAAGACAAAACTAAATAACAAGCTCATGAGAGTCTCAGACTAGGATCTAGAAGGCCCAGCTGAGAGTCCCCAGTCTGTCACGGGGGTGGGGCTTGCTGGATGGCCTCGGGCCAGCACCACGCTCTCTCCCCCTAGCTCACCTCACAGTGCTGTTAGGAAGATAAAATAGAGAAAAGGAGAACAGTGTAAGCTACCTCGTGGTCCCACTGGGGGAGAGAGGTGGGGTATAAATGGAGCGAACAGATCATTCTTTCAAAAGTGACGTTTCTTGAAGCAGTTTTCAAAATTGGTATTGGGTTTTTACTGAAGGAAAACATAGGAGACTGCCTGAGACCATCTGCCACTGTCTCACCTGCCGTCACCGTCAGCAACAATCCAAGGTCCCAGGCAAAGAAAGGTCAGCAGTTAACTTCCTGAGGTCCTTTTGGCTGGAGATGCCAGGAATCGAATCTGCAGCCTTCTCCACGCAGGACGCGTTTTGCTTTTGACTCATAGCCCCTCCTCCCTGCTGATGCCTGCAGCCACAGATCAAGTTGCAGTTCTTCACTGTGAGGCAGATTTTTCCTTAGTTCCCTTCAGGTACTGAGCTGGCCCCCAGTAGCGTGATAATATTGAGGCTTTGTCAGGGCTATTTTTGGGCAGGAACGCACAGGAACGGAGTTCCAGCTGGCTCCTGAGTTGGCCACGCCCAGCAGGAACTCATTAGCATAATAGGCCACACCCAAAAGCAGGAACTCATCAGAATTGGCTACATTAGGGGTGTGTGGCCTAACATGCAAAGACGTTCCTGCTACAAAAAAGCCCAGGGTTTTGACAACAAACAAGGTAAACAGAATAAGAAGCAAAAGGTGGGTGTAGTTGGATGACCACACTTCTTGTAACATGTGGGGTGTGGCCTAATATGCTAATGGGTTCCG